TGACATAAAAACTAAGTCAGTACGAACCAAAGTTCGGAGTCAGAATTGAACATTTCCGCTACCGTCTCTAGTTTTTGTTCCTTTGAAATGTATTCTAATAAGATGACTCTCGTTAATTATTATCGGAGCCCTAAATACGTTTTAAAAGTAAAGTAGAATTTATGTCTTTTAAGCAATTAATCATTATACTTAATTTGTAAAAGCAAAACCGCTGTAAGACTATCGAACTTGAACTATCACTTGAAAGCTTGTCTCAAGGGCGCTTTCTTTTTAATCTGATGATATAGAAATTTATTGATAATTTCGCTAGTTTTCTTCAAGTAAGTAGCCTTGTAATTTTTTTTAAAAAAAAAGATCTGCTTATTTGATCGCCAGGAGATTAATCAAGTATATTGGTGGATTATTTTCACACTAATACTATTTTTAAAATGAAATTCAAGTTTAGATATACTAGCTTTTAAGTGAGGTTATTTATTCCAAAAAGATAAAGTAGGTTAATGAAATCGAAAAAGCAAACTCGTTATACTAGAATGCAATTAAAAAAAGTAAATATCCGTTGAATAAATTGGTGTAAACAGTCAGACAAGATCGTAAAATATAAGAGCTATAAATGTAAATTTCAGACACTATTTCCAAATTTATAAATCTCTCATTAATTTACAATAGTGTTAGTGTATTACTATTTTTTAATGAAAAGGTGATATAACAGTTCATTTAATTTTTTTTGCATTCTATGAGAAATGTTGTTTTCTCCTATGTATTAGTTATTTTATTTTAGCTTTAATTTTTATCTTGCCGCTTGCAATTTAGTATGCCTAAAAAACTAAATAATTTTTTTTTTTACCCATAAACAATCTATTAAGCGTATGATTCCGTATAGTAATTTGAATTTAAGATACCCAAAAATTTTCAAATCTGGTGACCCTTAGGGTGTTCGATAGTTGTTTTTCTTTGGGCGTCAATAGCTTTTGCAGAAAAACAACTTTTACAGGCTTCTAAAACCTGCAGTGATTCCCAAGCTTAAGTAAACAGACTTTCTATTAATTGCATAATCGAAAACGGACCACTTCATTCTAACAATATTGAATTGAGTCTGAGATGAACACACATTTCTTCCCCAATTATTATTAAAAAATTGAATTAGAGTGTATTCTGTTTCTATGACCCGTGTGTTTCGTATTGACTGATTATCCAGGGTCTCATCCTTTTCTTCACTTGTCAAAAGCTTCTCAACCCTGGTGTGGTGTAATATAAACATACATTGTACTTTTAATAATTGTTGATTAAAGTTAGTGTTTATAAATATAAAAAAAATTTTTTTTTGTACAAATTTTCGCCATTCCATTCACTTGTCACAATTAAAAAAAATAATTTTCATCGGTCCATATACTTTAACTACGTTTAATGTCCTGCTAAGCTACGTTAATATTAACTTCATAGACTTTCACCGTGTTAGAAATAGAAAGAAGAATTTTCATTTTGCATTAAAGGTTTTAAAATAGACGAGTATTTAAAAATAACTTCATTTAAACGAATCTTCTAGTTCTGATGAGTTCTTGAAATAGTTCTATTTTTAGGAACGAAGTTTAATAGACGACTCAATTTGGAATTGGAATAGCAAGTTTAAAATGTTTGAAGGAGCGAAATTTTGTTCCTTTTAAATGGTAGATTTTTCTATTTTTAAAATTTGATTTCATAAACACTCTTTTTGGAGTTAATAATTTTTTCTTTGTTTTAAACGTTATTTTTTTTTTCAATTTCTAATTTTTTTTTTTTAATAAATCATTTCTACTTGTTAAAGACCCAGAAATGTCATTATTATTCTTTTTTACAAATGTTTCGTGATAAAAGTTGAAATAATTGTTTTAATATCAATGTAGTAGAAACATCGTTTATCACATTTGAAAAGTTTAATTTTGAAGTTGAAATGGTGTGTCATTATTCATAAATAAATGACTTCAAAACCGTTGAAAAAGTTTAGTTTCTTGAAAGTTAAGTAGTAATATTTAAGTAATACTATAATTAAAGCAAAAATGAAATAGTTATTATTATTTTTTAAATCCCTCTACGAAGTATAAAGATTTTTCTTTTCTGAGAATTTCTTTACTTCGTACAACTGCCAGTTGTGCTACGAATGGCAACTAAGTATTTATGTAAATATTCGTAGCACTCATCAATCAAAGCATTCAGAAAGGAACATAAGTGACATCCATTTCAGTGACTATGACGTCATATCACCTCTGTGTTATTTCCCTTTTGACATCGAAAGTCATTTCAAGGTTCTTAATAAAACGTACTAATATTATACAATTCAACATAAAACACCCAATTTCCATCTGAAAGCTTGCGTGCGTCAGATGCTGCACTAAATATTTACGATTTCCAGAATAACTGCATACTTTCATTGATTTTAGGACCCACCGAAACTTATAGAATTCAAATAAATTTTCCTTATGCCCATAAATGATCTCTTATTAGTAATAAGTCTATGAAGAAGGGGTATTCAAAGAATAAAAAAGATTTTTCACCAAAAAGAAAATAAAAACACGATTACACTGTTTCACATTTGAAGCTAACTCATATTTTTAAATTATGTATCTGTTTTGGTGAAGAGAATTATCTGGGCTTTAAATCGGACAAAAAACTTAAACATTAAAAAAAATATTGAACTTTTTAAAAATTTTATCTACTTGGAATCATTATACATTCTGTGATTAATTTGAAATATTTTTCATAATTTGTGGCCAAATAAGGCAGCGTTCGTTTATAGTAGAATGATAAATAATAATGCAGAAAGTTTCCATTTATTAAAAAAAGATTAAAAACACTTTAAATTTTCTCGAAACTGTGGTTTTTTCTTTATATTGACTCTTTTGCGCCATTTTTGTCATTTTATTTTATTTTATAATCGTCTTTGAACAGCCGACCCAATATTTGGTTTAGGACTACTAATGTTTACTCCTTAGCCTTGTAATTTTGAACCCAATTCAGAAGACAAGGGAACTCCTAGATCAAGTATTAGGAGAAATTTGCCTTCGTGGAGGATTTTTGGATGGAATGAACCCGCATTTGCGTTACATGGAAAGGAAAACCATGAAAACCTCCTTCGGTTGACTTGACGACAAGGGCACTCTAAGCCATAATCTGTCTACCATTGCTGATATTTTACGTCAGCACTGTGATCAGTGCGAGCCAGGTGCGGAATTCGTATCGACCAGCCATCTGGGATTCGAATCCGTTTCACCGGAGCTCTCTACTCCCTGAGCCACCATTTTCGTTATTGGATAGTATAAATTAGCGGGCTGTAGGGGGACAAGAGTTTCGAATATCTTCTATTCAACGATTATTCATAACAGAACTTTATTTCATCCCTGCCCATAAATTCAACTTTTCTAAATGCTAATTTATTTTTGAAATCGATAAAGTTTTTTCGTAGTATTGAAAAGAAGAGTATTGATTTGTTAAGTAAAGAGACAATAGAAGCTACATTTATAATTCGTTCCCGAAAGTGAAAAAAAAAGTGCTCTTCCAAGTAGACAATATTGTGATGTAACTTGTGAGTTATCCATCAAGAAATTCTTAAATGAACAATTTGAATAAAAATGTCAATTAATTATTTACCCATTGATTGGCACTTATATTTACTATTACTGAGTACTATTAGCATAACATAGGTAAGTCTATTATTTACGAACATTTACTCTTCAAATCCCAAGCACCTTGTTGCTGTGCCTATAATTTGCATCGATTGATTTAGTGACTTAAAAGAAAAAAAAATCTGTTTTGCTAATTTCTATTCCAAAAAATGCTGGCCTTTTTAAAATTTTCCCATTCATTTCTTGATTTTATAAACCATAAAAATGTTTTCTTTTTTTTGGAATATCGCTAAAATGATTTCATTTTATTTATTATTTTTTTGAAAGAAAAATTTGCATTAAATTTGTACAAATAATGTGAAATTTGTATATGATATGCATACTTAATATAATCAATGTTAAGTATGAATAACATAAATAATGTAAAATTTGTATAAATATTACAGTTGAATTTATTTTATTTAATTATGAAAGATTAATGTAAAATTTTATTATTGCTGTTCTTTTATAATGTTTTACCAAAGTTATCGAAAAAAAATGTAACAAGACAACTATAGACTCATGGGCTTGTTTGGCGATGGTTATTCCCCCCCCCCCCNATTCCCCCCCCCCCTCAATAATTAAAAATATCTGAGTCTCACTCAGTATTTCAGATAAATAAATTTTTTTTTCTCGAATTATCATCGATTTAAACTCCTTAAAGTTAAAAAGCAAGAAAGAGATAAAAATAATTAATCTTTTTGCAGGCATTTAGCACTTTTAAATTTTTCCTGTGTGTGAAATTTAGAAAACTATTGTGACTTTCTAATTTTATTTTGTCCCCCTTCAAAAATTTGGCCCCTGCAACACCTATGATACACATAAATAGAGATATATTGCAGGGAAAAAAACTTTCCTTTGCGTCGCATAATGGTGCGAGTACTTTTATATTTCTCGTTTCTATGGTGATTAATCTTTTTATCATTTTTTTTTACTGTATTTATATTAAATCACGTTTTCGATATTTTTGATGCGTTATACTAGTTTATATTACACACGTTTTTAAAATTTTCTGTCTTTTTTTCTAAAGGAACCTACATGATTGTTTTGGTTGGTTAGGGTGAAAAAGTTGTTATGGTTATTTTATTACTATTTTTCTTGTATCCAAAGAAAGACAAGTGCTAGATTTTGACTGCATAGATTTTGATGCATGAACTTAACAATGAGTAGATCTTTGAAAACAGAATGAATATTTTTCAACTATCTCTCTTTCACTTTAATTGCAAATTTAAAATTTATTCTTTTACCAGAATATTTTAATTTTAAATTTTTTTTTTTTTTAAATTCCTGGGAATTGTAATGAGTATGCAAAATTACATTAACCTTTTGATCGATAATAATAGGTATTCATGTTTTTTTTTACAGGAAGCAAAGCTTGTGAAAGAACATCTTTTGTATTTTTGCGTAAGGAGCTTCCTGTTCGCTTAGCCAACATAATGAAAGAAATCCATCTACTTCCAGAACGTTTACTTCGAATGCCATCTGTAGCTTTAGTGCAAAGCTGGTAACAACAGTTTTTCATTTTTTTTATTGCCTCACTATAAAACCATGTATTAAGGTAATTGTATTTATAGATGCTATATAACATAAATATGATTAAATTAACAATAATAATATTCAAATAATAGTGAAAATTGTATTTTACAAAAAAATTATTTAAACAGAAAAAACTAGGTCATTTACCAAACACTCTTTTTGCTTAGTATTTTTATGTTTTTTTTTTTAAAAAATTAGTCATGGAGTTTATTTATAAAAACGAAGATTTAAGCAAAAGTGGAAACTAGTTACTGTATTCAGGGCTGATTGTGCTCCTGAAAAAAGCCGGATTTCCGGATTTTTCGCTAACAGTGATCCGGACGTTTCCGGAGATCGAAGGTCCAGATGTTTAAAAAAATCATTAATCACAGAAGTTTCCGGAAATCAAATTTTCAAAGGTGGAACTTAAAAACACAGTTTATTTTTGTTTGTAAGGCAGAGTCAGATACTTTATAAGCTTATATTCATGATTAATATTAATTTTTTATCAGTAAATAGTTATTATAATCATAAACTCAAGAAAGAAAGACATGTTGTTGTTGACGGATGCCATTTAGGCAGAGGGGGTGCGATTGCTCTTGTTTTCCAGTGGCGCCATCTATGGCCAAGAATTCGACTTCTGCCACACCATACCGTCACGCCCTATAGGGCGGACCCATTCATACATCCATTCATTCTTCCACAGATCGTAATTTTGACCTGAATCAGAGAATGATCTATCTCCAAATCAGAACCCCCAGAGGTATTGATTTGTTATGGGAACATGGAGGAATTTGAGACTCGACAGATTTAACATGCATCAGTCATCATTTACCACACGGGGAGTCTTCGGCAGGCAGGGATCGAACCCATGACCTCTTGGACATGGGCCCAGTGCCCTACCAACCAGGCTATCCCAGCCTAAAAAGAAAGACATATTTGTACATTTTAATTACTTCTCCATGTCATAGGTATGTGCAAATGGTATAGGTGTATGTAAAATTTTAAATATATTTTAGGTAAACTACGAAATATTGAGAAAAAGGAAAAAAACTTTGTTTAAATTTTTTCTAATTTTTCAATTTGAACTGTTTTTTTTTTTTCAACTCAAGAAATTTTCCGGAATTTTGACTTGGGCTCGCAATCACCCCTGTGTATTACACTTTATGTTGGTTTAAAAAAAAGTTTTCTAACTAGCATGAAACCATTCAATGCATTTTAATATTCTTAACTATTAAAATATTTAATATGTATTACCTAGTTTCTTTAAAATCCAAACTAATTTAATAGTATTTTAAAATCAGGATCAGAGATCTAAAAGATTGACTCCGAATTAACACATTTCAATTTCATTGCTCAAAAATTATATCAAATATTCGAATACTTTTTCAAAATATTTATATAAATGCCAAAATATAAAATTTTAATATACTACTTCAAATATTTGCTTTAATTTATTTTAACAATATTAAAAGGTTAGAAAAAAAATATTGTATATGTAATTTTTTGATATGCTTTAAATGTTATGGGCAAGTCTTCAAAACCTTAAGAATTTTGAAGCCCTTGAATTAAAGGGGCCCAGTTATAGGATTATAATCAATAATTTAAGTAATCAGATTAAAATTATTGTGCAGATATGTTTACTTATGAACAGATATGTTTATATATGATTAATTTTACTATACATATATGTTTATTCATAGTAGGTATATTCTTTATTTCATAGGTATGAAAGAAGTTTTGAAGAACTCTTAGTCTATGAAACTTCAGAATCTAATAAGAAGTCTTTAGAAAGGTATTGGCCAGCAGGTTTTTCTAAAGAAGTGCACAATATTTAGTGCCCCACTTAAACTGTACCCGGAAGCAAAAAAATACATAAAATTTTAGATTTAAACAATTTGTTTTAATATTTAAATAATGTATTAGTCTATCTATCCTATAGATCAGTAAATTATTTTTGTTAATTGTCATTGTAAATCTATCTTAGCTTTTGTATTTTCTTATGGTAAAAAACAATGTAAATTAAATTTGTTATAATCTGATGTTAAACATAAGAAAAATTTGCTTCCATAATTTCTGTGTGAACTTATCTTTGATAAAATTTAGTGTAGTACAGAAAAAACAGTTAGTGTAGTAAAAATAGTTATAAATTAGTGTAGTTAAAGAATTGTTAATTATTCAAATTCGTAGTCATTGATGTTCAAATATTGAGAACCTCTTTTTTCATATTTTTTTATGGGAAATATGGTTATATTTATAGTAAAAAAACGTTATTGAAGTCTCTAGTCATGTAATATTTGAGAAAACTCATCTTATGTGTTTCCTTTAAAAATATGGTAAAATTCAGTATCCTGGCTGAAGCTAAAAACATGAATCGCTAGGACAAGAAAAAAGGATCTGCTGGCAATAAATTATAAAAAAAATTGTTACGATTTATTTTGCATAATTTACTCCAATAAAACGGTTACAATTCAAAATGTGTAATAAGACAAACTAGGGGGTAACAGTGATTCCACTAAACGGGTTGTTAGAAACTCAAGATTTCAATTTTTCTGGGTCCCTTTTTACCACTTTTCTACTTCTTTATTCGCCTACTATCCTTTAAATTCCTAATATTTTATCCATTGGACAAAAGAAAGAATTTCAAATCATGTATTTTAACTATCAAAGCTTTTAATTAGGAATGATCGAAGGAAAAGTAGTGATCTAATTTCATATTAAGAATTATTCTAATTTTGTCTCTCAGCTGAAGGATTTTTTTTAATATTTAAAATTTAGTTTCAATCTTACCTACATTAATCTGTTGGCAGGCTTTTATTTCCCTCACTGGAGAATTACACTTCCCCTCTACGATTTTTGGTGTATTTGACACTCAGAATGCATATATATTATATACACAGAATACATGGTTAGTTGGTGTCGTGTCATGGACAGAAAATAATTTTAAATGTGATCAAAGGTCCTATATAAAACAACTGAAATTTGAAGGCATTTTTCTTCATATAATTCCGCTCACGGATTGTCACTTACTTGCTGCAATTGCGCCAGTATAACGGGACAGTTGAAAAGATGTATGGGGGTTAGTTCTATGTCTGGGCAATTTTTGAAAAGGCAGTAAGTTCTTGTTCCGTCACCATAAATCTTCATCCCCCTAAAGCAGGGTTTCTTAACCTGTGGTTCATGGACCCCCTAGGGGTCCATGGGTCATATTTTGGGGGTCCACCGACTGCTCCTAATTTTTAAAACGTTTGGATCAATAATATTTAAATACCATTGATCTTTTTTTCTTTCTGAGGGCTGGGTGCAGTCCAAATTCAATACGGACTGCACCCAGCCCTCTAATATCCCTGTCATATTTTTAACATCCTCCACTAACCGGCTTTCAGTTTGCACCATCAGGGGCAACCCCCGGATGACGTCCGCTGTACTATTTTTATTATCCCCTATCAAGCTACCTACATTTGACACCTTGTTCAGGTTACTAGATCTAGAATTTTTTACTAAGAAGAAAGCCCAGTTTTTGAAATCTGGAACATTAGACAAACGTGGATTTGGTATTCCACAAAAACCTCTGGTTGAGGCATCTCTCAAAGTTGCATATCATATTGCTAAAAGCAAGAAACCGCATACTATTGGAGAGACGTTAGTTAAGCCATGTGCGCTGGAGATGGTTGAATTAGTTTGTAGATTGGAACAGTGAAAAAAAAAAACTTGAGGCAATTCAATTTTCAAATGATGTGACGCATTCAAGAATAGTTTAAATTTCTTGCAATATCTTGAAAAAGATCATCGATGAATTGAAAGTGTATCGCCATTTCCCTTTAGTAAGCAACTGGATGAAACTGCAGATATCTCAAATTATAGTCAACTTCTTGTTTTTGTTCGTTACGTGTCTCTTGATACTATCAAAGAAGAATTTTTATGTTGTGAGTTTCTTTAGCAAACTACAAAGGCAGTTGATTTTTTAGCAATGTTAAATTTTTTCTTTACCAAACAAGACTTCGGCTGGAAAGAAAAACTTCATTCACTTCGTACAGATGGAGCACCACCTGTGATGCTTGGCAATAAATCTGGTTTTGACTTGTTGGTAAAAAAAAAAGTCTCCTAATGTTCTTGTTGCTCTTTGTTTTTTACATAGACATGCACTGGCTACAAAAACTCTTCCAACCAGCTTAAAAGAAGCATTATCAAAAGTTATTAAAACTGTAAATTTTATTAGAAGTAGAGCTCTTAATCATCGTCTCTTTAAAACTCTGTGTCAAGAAATGGACGCAGAACATGAGGTACTTCTGTACCAAACGGAATTGCGCTGGCTGTCGCGAGGGCAGATTTTGAAACAATTTTTCATGTTGAAGATCGAATTATCACTTGTTCTAGAAGAAAAAGATATCTCATTCTTCGAATATTTAAACAAAAAAGATTTTACCTATAAATTGGCTTACCTGGCAGATAATTTTAACCACCTGAACAATATAAGTCTTTTAATTCAAGGACCCAATATCACCATTATGGATGCAACTGAGAAATTACAAGCATTTTAATTGAAGATGCCAATTTGAAAAAAATAGAATTCAAAATAAGATATATGCAAACTTTTAAATGTTAGACGAAGTGCTTTCTGAAAATGGATCTTGCGAGATAATTTTGTTACTGAATAACTTAAAAAATGAAATCTGTGAACACCTGGAAGTACTTCAAGTTTCATTGAAAAACTATTTTATTAAAATGAGATAAAGATAAAAGATGAGTTGTGGATTCGTCATCCTTTTCTTTGTGATATTGACTGTATCGATGATATGAACCTTGCCAAAGATGAGCTTACTGATCTTAGAACAAAGTCCTTGCTAAAAATGGATTTCGATTCAAAAACACTCGGAGAGTTCTGGTTTTCTGTGAAAGAAGCCTACCCATTGCTTGTAAAGCGAGTTATTTCAGCTATAATTCCGTTAGCTACAGTGTATCTTAACGAAACCGGACTTTCCACAGTTGTGTCAATAAAAACAAAACATCGTTATCGATTGAATGTTGAACATGTTATGTTCGTTGCTTTGACGAAATTAATCCCTCTATTCAATTTATTAATTAAGGAACAGCAGCAACAACTTTCAGACTAAAAATTTTAGTTTTAAATATTTTGTATACTATTGAAATAATAAAATTAAATGCTAAAATAAATTAAATACTAAAAATTGATGTTTTTTGAAATTTTTTTTTCAGAGGGGTGGTCCGTGACTTCTAAAAAAATTTTAAAAGGGGTCCATTGTATCAAAAAGGTTAAGAAACACTGCCCTAAAGTGTTCTGTCCGGAGTCTTGTTAGTGTGCTGGTGAGAGTTCTATTGGTACTTTATTTAGAAAAATAACGTCAGGCACTGAACTTTCGTTCTTCGCCTTAGAAGATGCCGGAAGTGTTGCCCATTTATCGCTACCCAGTGTGCACCTGTGAACCAAAGTCACGGAGGCAAGTAACATTACCCACGCCACACTGCCACAAATACCCGTTCATAGGGTGGGCCACATTCATACATTCACACATCAGAAGACAACACAGAGAGAGAGAAACATCCATGCCAGAGCGGGATTTGAACCCGCTGCCATTGGCTTCACAGTCAGGCATGCTAACCACTTGGCCACATGGCCAGCAGGTCTATTGGTACTGATTTCAGGGATTTGCTGTTTGATTTGGATTTTCCTATCATTGAATTTTGCCTTAGTCACTGAATTGATATTGCTGAGAGTGACATGAGTAACTTTGCTGGTGTTTAATTGTCTTGCCTCTTTTGCCAAGGCATCAGCCATCTTGTTTTCCACAGAATACATATATATACTCTATACACAGAATACATATATATACTCTATACACAGAATACATATATATAATCTATACACAGAATTACTAAGTCAAGCCAGTAAAATTAGGCTCAAATTATTGGTCTCTAATGCTAATAATTGCCTAAAAAGTATCTTGATAAGCTGAAGTTCATGTTATTCCAAAATAATAGTTTACATTTGTAAATTGGAAATAGGTTCAGAAAATCTGCTATTTATAGAAATGTTTGCCAATAAAAATTAGACTATGTTTTCAATTTTAAGGATTCTTTTTAATGAAATAAGGCTCATACAACTTTTGAGGTTATAAGGTTTTCCATAGAAATAATAACTTGTTCACATCTTTATTACATTTTATTTTATTTGCTATAAAACTATGAATGCAGAGTATTTTTCACACTTTAATACTAAGTTGAGACAAGGTATGTATTTAATATTAATTAGGTAGTTGTTAATTAGTTTTTCATTTTATAATTCTCATTCCGCATGTTTTGAGAGTGAGTATTATGTAATTTTTTACTATGGTTCAAGATATAAGTATATTACACAAATTGAAAAACTATAAAAACTTTTTTTACAGTTCTATTTTTAAAAAAATTGATTTAATTTCATATTTATATTATTTAGTGTGAATATATCTTCATGTGAAAAATGGAACATTTTATTTTGAAGGATGTCAGTTAGGCCTAAGTTTTTTGTTCCTTTTTATAAAATTTTGGTACGTTATTTACCTTTGGGAAATTCAACTATTTACAAGTTTCATGTTTGCCAAATTTAAAAGCATATAACTCAGTTAAAACAATTGATGCGGTTCTATTGATTTTTTGAAAAGATAAATCTTGGTGTCATTTACACTTGTAAATTTTAGAAATTCAAAATTTTTTAAAAATTAAAATCTAGCTGTTGCAAGCACACCACTTAGTTTTTAATATTTAAAATTATTTTAAACTTATAAAAGTTTGTAAAAAATTTGAGTTTTTAATTTTCACAAAAAGTATTACATCTGCCCAATTTTATTTTAACTGAATTATATGCATTTAAAGCCTGCAAATACTACATTCGTTAATGGTGGAATTGCCCATATATCCTCATGTTTCAAAAGCAAATTTCAAACACAATATCCAAGTTTTTTTGTTTCATAGAGTATCTGATTCATTTGATGATTGTTAAAAATTATCATTTTCACTCTTTTATCAGGGACACAGATTGATATGAAGAATGACTTGTTTTGAGATTTTTTTCTAATTCTAAAATATTTTAGGCTGTTCTTTGTAAGCTCTGTCATCATATTAAATAACGTTTCCTAACGCTTAATGGATTATAAACTATTTTAATAACTTAACTGTTTTGTGTATCTTTAAGTTCTATTTTATCTGTTTGAAGTCAGTTCCCTCTTTGTGAATTATAAAAATTGTGCAAAATATTAATGTAATGAAAAGTCACAGTTTTGTCATAAGTTGTGTTTGCAATCTTATTTTTAATATTTGAAACGTTACTCTAACGCTGCATTGTTTTGACACTGCAGTTGAGAATTATTCATTTGTTTTAATTTTTATTTTGGTGGAAAAATCTTGTCAATTTGGCAGTTACTTAAAAACAGTTTAATTTTTACGTTATTTGGTAGCTACATGGNATTTTTTGTGCATGAATGTAAGATGGACAAATACCTTGTTAAGGCGACATCTTCTACTCCGTAACGGACAAATGAAAATGAAACAAATGTCGATAGAAACGGTCAAAACGAAACAAATACGGATATTTTTCAGCCAAATAAATATAATAGCCGATGAAAAAGTAGATATAGGACATTTTCCATATGATGATGCAGCAAAAATATTCAATTAGAAGATGTGAAAAATGTATCATAATTAAAGAAATAATTTTTTTCCAAGTCTATTCGTGTTTCTTTAATTTTTAGAAATCTCACTTAACTTTTTGAAATCTCACCCTGTTTTTGAGAAAGGGTGAGAAATTCTCACCCATTTTTTTTCTGCAATGAATACACTGCCTAGTTTCTTTAAAATTCAAACTAATTCAATAGTACTTTAAAATCAGGATCAGAAATTTAAAAGATTGACCCCAAATTAACACATTTCAATTTCATAGTTCAAAAATAATATCAAATATATTAATACTTTTTCGAAATATTTATATAAATGCCAAAATATGAAATTTTAATATACTACAAATATTTGCTTTAATTTTTTTTTACAATATTGAAAGGTTAGAAAAAAAAATAGTGTATATGTAGTTTTTTTTACATGCTTTAAATGTTATTGGTAAGTCTTCAAAACCTTAAGAATTTTGAAGCCCTTGAATTAAAGGGGCCCAGTTACAGGATTATAATCATTAATTTAAGTAATCAGATTAAAATTATTGTACATATATGTTTATATAGGATTAATTTTATTGTACAGATATGTTTATTCATAGTACGTATATTCTTTATTTCATAGGTATGAAAGAAGTTTTGAAGAAATCTTAGTCTATGAAACTTCAGAATCTAATAAGAAGACTTTAGAAAGGTATTGGCCAGCAGGTGTTTCTAATGAAGTTCGCAATATTTAGTGCCCTACTTAAACTATACTTAGAAGCAAAAAAATATATAAAATTTTAAATTTTTACAATTGTTTTTAATATTTAAATAATGTGTTAGTCTATCCTATAGATCAGTTAATTATTTTTGTCTATTATCATTGTAAATCTATCTTAGCTTTTGTATTTTCTTATGGTATAAAACAATGTAAATTAAATTTGTTATAATCTGATGTTAAACAGAAGAAAATTTTGCTTTCATATTTTCTGTGTGAATTTATCTTTGATAAAATTTAGTACAGAACAGAAAAGCAGTTAGTGTAGTAAAAATAGTTATAAATTAGTGTAGTAAAGGAAGTGTTAATTATTCAAATTCTTAGTCACTGATGTTCAAATATAGAGAACCTCTTTTTTCATATTTTTTTTAGGGGAAATATAGTTATACTTATAGTAAAAAAAACATTATTGAAGTTTATAGTCTTGTAGTATTTAAGAAAACTCATCTTATGTGTTTCCTTTAAAAATATGGTAAAATTCATTATCCTGGCTGAAGCCTAAAGCATTAATCGCTAGGACGAGGACAAAGGATCTGCCGGCAATAAATTTTTTTACGATTTATTTTGCATTGTTTACTCTAATAAAACGGTTACAATTCAAGATATATAATTAGACAAACTAGGGGGTAACAGTGATTCCACTAAACGGATTGTTAGAAACTCAGGATTTCAATATTTCTGGGTCCCTTTTTACCACTTTTCTACTTCTTTATTCATCTATTATCATTTAAATTCCTAATATTTTATCCATTGGACAAAAGAAAGAATTTCAAATCATATATTTTAACTATCAAAGCTTTTAAATAGGGCTAATCGAAGGTAAAGTAGTGAATTTTCTCTCTCAACCAATAATAATAAAGGATTTTTTTTATATTTAAAATTTAGTTTCAATTTTACCTACATTAATCTGTTTTCAGGCTTTTATTTTCCTCACTAGAGAATTACACTTCCCTTCTAGGATTTTTGGTGTATTTGACACTCAGAATGCATATATATATTATATACACAGAATACATATTTATAATATATACACAGAATACATATTTATACTATATACACAGAATACATATATTTATACTATTTACACAGAATTACTAAGTCAAGCCAGTAAAATTAGGTTCAAATTATTGGTCTCTATTGCTTCTGCTAATTATTGCCTAAAAAGTACCTTGATAAGCTGAAGTTCATGTTATTCCAAAATAATAGTTTAAATTTGTAAATTGGAAAGAGGTTCAGAAAATCTGCTATTTATAGAAATGTTTGTCAATAAAAATTAGATTATGTTTTCAATTTTTAGGATTATTTTTAATGAAATAAGGCTCATACAACTTTTGGAGTTATAAGTTTTTCCATAGAAATAATAACTTGTTTGCATTTTTATTACATTTTATTTTATTTGCTATAAAACTATGAATGCAGAGTATTTTTTCACACTTTAATATTAAGTGGAGACAAGGTATGTTTTTATTATTAATTAGTTGTTAATTAGTTTTTCATTTTATAATTCTCATTCCACATGTTTTGAAAGTGAGTATTATGTAATTTCTTTCTATGGTTCAAGATATAAGTATACTACACAAATTGAAAAACTGTAAAAACTTTTTTTACAGTTCTATTTTTAAGAAAGTTATTTAATTTCATATTTATATTATTTAGTGTAAATATATGTTATTGTGAAAAATGGAAAGTTTTATTTTGAAGGATGTCAATTAGGCTTAGATTTTTGTTCCTATTTTTTCTAATTTTGGTACGTTATTTACCTTTGGGCAATTCCACTATTTGCATGTTTCGTGTTTGCTAAATTTAAAAGCGTATAACTTAGTTAAAACAATTTATATTCTATTAATTTTTTGAAAAGATAAATCTTGGTATCATTTACACTTGTTATAGTTTTTAGAAATGTGAATTTTTTTTAAAATTGAAATCTTTTTGTTGCAAACATAACAATTAGTTTTTAATATTTAAAATTTTTTTAAACTTATAAAAGTCTCTAAAAAATTTGAGTTTTTAATTTTCATCTTCCCAATTTTTTTTAAAAACTGAATTATATGCATTTAAGGCCTGCAGATACAACATTCGTTAATGGTGTAATTGCCCATATGTCCTCATGTTTCATAAGCAAATATTAAACACAATATCCAAGTTTTTATTTTATTTTATAGAGTATCTGATTCATTTGATGATTGTTAAAAATTAACATTTTCAATCTATTATCAGGCACACAGATTGACATGAAGAAAGACTTGTTTTGAGATTTTTTTCTAATTCTAAAATATTTTAGGCTGTTCTTTGAAAGCTCTGTCATCATATTAAATAATATTTCCTAACACTTGATAGATTATAAACTATTTTAATAACTTAACTGTTTTGTGTGTCTTTAAGTTCTGTTTAATCTGTTTGAAGTCAGTTCCCTCTTTGTCAATTATAAAAATTGTGCAAAATATTAATGTGATGAAAAGCCACAGTTTTGTCAAAAGTTGTGTTAGTGATCTTATTTTTAATATTTGAAACATTACTCTAACGCTGAATTGTTTGGACACTGCAATTGAGAATTATTCATTTGTTTTAATTTTCGTTTTGGTGAAAGAATCTTTTCAATTTGGCAGTACTTAAAAACTGTTTAATTTTTAAATTATTTGGTAGCTACATGGTATTTTAAAATAATAGATTTACTTTGATTTTAAGGCAAGGCTGTTGCTTCTTTTTATTTTCCTACAAAGAAAAATACCCTCAAATTACAGTTTACTTAAGGCACATGAATTAATAATTTTTTTTTTTTAAAAAGTGATTCTTTTACAGTTTCTGTGATCGCCTTTTGAAAATTCACAACCGCCACAATGATGTTGTTCCAACTATGGCTCAGGGTGTGATTGAGCTGAAAGAGGTATGCCCACTGGATCAACAAACTGAGCACAGCATACAGTATTTCTTAGATCGATTCTATATGAGCCGCATCTCCATACGCATGTTGATTAATCAACATAGTAAGTTTCCATGATGTTTATTTTGTTTTCTTTCTATATATTTATTTTAAAGACTGTGTGCCCCGTCCCTTGTGAAAAACTAAACACTCCTGAATAACTTTTGATCTAATGATCGGATTAGCACAAACAAGGGCTCGATTTTTATGGTCCAAGGGGGTAGTCTTAAATATGCTAATCAGTTAGTGCTGAACATATTTTAAGCTACTGAATCAGATATGAAAATAAGCTTTCTCCGAACAAACATTCCTGTAAAAAAAAGTTTGGTTTCTAAAGTGTACAATTTCTTGTGTCAATTTGTAGAATATAATTTTATATTTCTTAAAAATACAAAATTTGAGGAACGAAATCGGTTGAATAGTTCTTGAGGAGTCGAATATTAAAGAAGTTTATTTAAAATTCGATGTATTATTTAGCTGCTGATTTACAAAAAATGTTTTTTAGATGTTACAGCCAATCCAAATTTCAGGTATTTTTTTTCAATTAATACTGTATGCTTTTTATAGTTTGTAAGGAGCTGAACTAGCTCACTATCTCAGATAAATGCAATACTTATGCTGGTTGTCTAAAAGATGGGGGGGGGGGAGAGAAATGATTCATTGCTGTGAAACAAAATTGTCTCTTGAGAGATCATATGTTTTTTTTGGAACAACGATTGTTGAGGAAGGAATCTCTGACTAGATTTGAAAGAAGGTTGCTGCTCTGTGATATTTTCAGTTTCTAATGATCTCAATAAACATTTAAAGGCCTTTTGATGACCACTGTATGTAATAAATAATGAAGTGACAAATTAAAAATATGTTTAATTTGATTTATTTAATTGCAAAAGCAGAATGTTATCTAATTTAGATTGTCTGTAACTAAAGATACCACAGAGCAACAGCCTTCTTTCAAATCTAGTCAGAGTTTCACTCCTCATTTCTCTCAATACTTGCTATTTCCAAAAAAAAAAAAAGATTTTAAAAACCCATTTTGTTTAAATCATTTTGCCCCATCTTTTCTCAACCAGCTATATTTTTTATAAAATCCAAAACAATCAACTGAAGGATAGCAAATTCATTTCTATTCCTCACTCAAGTAATATGCCATTAGTATTGCAATTGGCATCCTATTTAACGTTTAAGATTTCATCGCTCATATATCTCAATAGAATATTCATTTTCTGGCAGAATTTTTTTGGTACTTCTGATAATATTAAATGTTAAGTACTAAATGGTTTTGATTTTTAAGTTTCATAATTGTAAAACATTTGAATAATTAATATATTTAGTCAAAAACATATTTTTCTGAAACCTTTTTGTACAAAATGTGAGTATTATAGGTTTATTCATATTTATAAATAAAACTAGTAAAAATTATAATTTCTTTCCCTGACATGGAATTATATGTATGTATGATATGCACTTCATTATTAAGACATTTCTTAAGAATATTAAATACTTAGTTGGTGGATGCCCATGTAGAAATTTAATATAAATATTTTTGTAGCATCTCTGTTTGGCACTAATTTAAATGGCCATCCTCGTCATATTGGCTGCATTGATCCTAACTGTAATGTTACATCTGTCTTAAGAGGTAAGTTACATAAATAAATAAACTAATGTTTAATCTTTATTTATTCAAGTAAGTACTTAATTTTTATGCATATATTTTCAAAGTAAATAAAATATTTGATTTATTAAGTTTTAATAAAGAAGCTCCTTTATTAATTATGGCACACCAATTTTTAAATATGTACATGTATGTTACCGTGAATGAATGAAAGAAAGAAAATGTCGACTTTCACCGGTAAATGTCAAAAATCACATAGTCTCTTTGGTGAATGTCTAAAATATGTGTTATATCCTATTTGATATTAATTTATTCATTGATATTATTATATTTATTCGATATTTTAATATCTGCTGAGGATAGATTAGGAGAATTATCAGTGTTCCCAGTACCAGTTAAATGCATACTGCGCAGTGGCACTTGACCTTAAAACATTGATGTAGGGCAGGGATGGCGAACCAATGGCACATGTGCCATTTATGGCACACGACACAATATTTTGGGCACTCCACCGATCACAATTGTTGTTACACTATGAATTGTTATTACACAAATGTTATTACGCTATGAAGCATATGTAACAATTAAATTAAAATTCACAAAAAACAAACAAAATAATAAACAATTATTAATAAAAAAATTAAAAATTAATTCTAAATAACAATTATTAACAGTAAAAAACAAGCTAACAGTAAATAACTAGCAAAAAAAATCAACAGTCCTGCTTAAACTAACATCTTACAACCTAATATAAGTTATTGGTCATCTAATCTGCAACAACAGAAATCACACTGATGTTACTTTAAGTTGAATTACTTGTATAACTGAGACATTGCAAAATGTATTTTTTTTTCAATGTAAATAATGAGTTTTGAGTTGATAGTAATTAGTATTATTCTTTTCCCATTAATCACGAAGTCAAAATTATTTGACGGCACGTCTACGACCTCATTAAGCAATTTTTCGAGAAAATGGCACGTTGGTGTATAAAGGTTCGCCACCCCTGATGTAGGGCATCCCGGGCAAATGTATACCAGGTAGGGGCACTGAACCTAAAAAAACATCAGTGTAGGATGTACCAGACACTTAACTAGACTTAGTAATATATTTCAGACATTTACCAAAGCGACTATGTGATTGTCAACATTCACTGGTGGAAGTCAACAACCACCCATTTCTGTCATTCACAGTAACATACATATTATATTTTATTTGCGTCTGACACATTTTTTTTTTCTTTGATTTTAACTTTTTTTCTCTTAAAGAGTAGATTCATAAAAAATAGTTGTTAAGTATATAAAAGTAATAACACCTTAATTTCCTGTTTTTAGAAGATAATATAAAATTTTTAATAAAAGAAATATTTTGTTTCAATTTATTACTTGTTACTTTTTAAAATATGAAGTAAAACTTTTCTCTTAAAAAAAAGTAACTATTCATAACTGATAATAATTGAAGCTCTCACATGCTGAATACTACTTTGTTTGTTTATTTATAGATGCTTATGAAAATGCCCAGTTCCTTTGTGACCAGTATTATATGGCTTCTCCTAGCCTTGAAATTGAAGAAATTTGTGGTATGCATTTTTAAAATAGATAACCTTTATGCATGGTATAATGAAATTTTGATTATCGGAACGCTTTCATTTGACACCTCTGTCGACTTTAGTCAATTTAAAAGCTTTTTTTTCTTAGATTTTTTTCTCCTCCTTACATAAATAATAATGTGCTATGTTTATACATTGTAATTAGATTTATTTTTATTTTTCCTCACCATACTGTCACTGATAACATGAGTATTGAAACTTTAATTTAGCCATGATAAGGATTTCACTCACTTCATGACTGGGGCTTAAGAGTTAAAAGAAATTGATCAACTCTGGTTAGTTAAAATGTGGTCCTAATAAACACATTTAATGTTATCATTGAGCCCCCTTCGTAAAATTGTATAAAAAATTTCCATGCTATGCACTACTCTCCCATTGAATAATATGGGGGAAACCATGTTTGCAGGAAAGTTTGGAGCTAAAAGTTTGAAAAAAAGCTGAGACTAACGCTCAAAGGGTTAAAATGGTAATTAAAAGTACCTTAGTGTAATAGCGTGCAATAGTTATTGATGTCTTGATATCACTGAATGTTGAGAGAAGGGAAATAAGGGACAAGATAGTTATCTAGTCAGCAGATGTATGTTATGGTAGTTATCTAGTTTTTTTTTTAAGTGCACAGCAGAATATAAATATAAAAGTGGCAGAATATAATTCTGCTGATAGTTGTCCATACATGTATACTTTTTAAACATAAAACGTTTAGATTGCATGAAGTAACTAACATGAAATGATGTTGGTTTTTATTTTTCTTGTAGTAATACTAGATTTGAATAAAAGTATGTTTTGTTTTGTCCTCTTTTGTGTAATACTGTTCACCTAAACAGCATGGAAATGTTACTTGATAAAAAATTTATTCGCTTCGAGCATCGCTTTTTTTTTAAGCGAATGAAGTTTTTAATCTAGTAATACCTCTTTGCTTCTGTTTCTTGGGATTATTTGTATAAAATGAAGAAAAAAAAAGAAAGTATTAGAATAAAAGAAACTGTTAACTTGTTATTAATAAAATTTTTGTATCTTTAGCATTAACATTCTGGTGATGAGTCTAACTTGCCCTGATAACAAATTTCTCATAATATGTCATATTTGTTATTTTGAGCTCTTACTGCAATTTAATTATCTTATTAAAAATTTGTAGTTTTTCTTTTTAGACATGAAAGAAATTCTCATTATGTTTCTTTTGTTCTAATAACTTCATACTTATTTTAGCTGTTGATCCTGGCGTGCCTATATCAGTTGTATATGTACCATCACATTTATATCATATGTTGTTTGAACTTTTTAAGGTGAGTATGAATTATAAAATTTTCTTCCATAGTTCTTTTCTGAATTTTATTTATTAGTTTGATTTTAAACCATCCTAATTATATTTTTTAATTTGGAGAAGCATTTGAGTGGATCTTATTCTAAAGTTAAGACAGAAAATCGTGAAGAGTTTAATTTAGAAAGTTAAATGGTTTAATTATAGATAAGCATCATCATGACAAGACTGAACACTTTATTTTGACAATCTTAGTACAATTTTTTTTAATACTTTTAATGTAAATGATGCAAAAGGCCAGCAATTGAAATGAAATAATCATTCAATCAGTAATTTTAATTATTTGATTTTTAAAAAAAGTGATCTTTGATCTTAATCAAATTAAGAAAAAAACCAGTATGATAATTTCTCATTCATTTTTAATAAAGGAGTGAGAGCAAAAGGTAGATTTGTTCTAATGCAATGAAGTAAAATTTTTAAACAAGCTTATATAACATTTTCATACATAAATTGTCGCCCAGTAATTATAGTAAATAAAGGATATTTCTTTAGAGTTTTTTCATGCTGAATTGAATTAGACCAATCCCAAAACGATCAGACCAATAGTTTAGAAGTTATAAGGGTCTTACATATGAAAAATACAAATTTGTACTTGTATGCAATTCTGATATTGCTATCTAAACAAGGGACACATTATTTTCTATGCATTTTTTTACATTGAATCACTAGAATGAATGGTACTAAAGTTACAAGTTGCAGTTTTAATGAAAATAAGTAAACAATACACATTGTTTTTTTCTTGATTGAATATTGACTTATGCATTTGGTTATTTCTTGTTTGTAAACATATTTTGTTCTTAGAAGTTTGAAACTAACCTGTTTTTCCTGTATGATTAAATAATTAAAATATCATTACATATTTATTTTAAATGCATGTTGAATAAATAGTTGCACATCTTAAACATAGTATTTTAGAAATTGTTTCTTTTCTAGATATCAGTTTCTGTTCTGATTAAGAATACCATTTTTTATTGAGAACATTAGATTAAAATTATTTATATGGGAGTTGAATTGCATGGAAAAGTTAATCTGAAAATGATTTAAATTTTACTTTTAAAAGTTAATCTAAAAATCATTTAAATTTTGAAGTAAAAATTAAATTTTCTTGCACAATTTACAAAATTAAGAGGGTAATAAATATTTTTCATTTTTTAAAGCAATCAGTTATTGTTTTGCTTGTGCGATTGCATCATTCTAACTTGTTCAAATTATATTTTGTTTTGTGTGAATATTTGTTAGCGTTTGTTAAGCAATAATTTGATAAGAATTACTGACAGTTTTTTTAATACTAAATTTGATGTATAATGTCTGGATATTTTGTTGACAGAATGCTATGCGTGCTGTTGTTGAATATCATGGGAGTGATGCAGACAAGTTGCCTCCCATTAAAGTGCTTGTATCTCTTGGTAAAGAAGATCTCACTATCAAAGTAAGTACATTATTTACTTATCTTGAATAACATTATTTATTTTTGTAGTTACCAGAATGGAGTTATGCATATTAAAAAAGAAAAATTTATTTTGTATGCTCATGAAGATGTTAACTACTTCAGGTTTTCTACATTTTCTACTACTATTAGTATGGATTATGAAAAACTTTAAAATTTCATGTATCAAATATTTATGAGTGAGGCGGGAATGGATAGCTTGGCTGACAGGACGTTGGACTTGTTTGTGAAAACGGGGGTTTAAATCCAGCCAGCTGAAGAGTCTCCGTGTATTAAATAGTGATGGGTGCTCGTTAAATTAGTCGTCACTAAGTCGTCCAAGTTCCCATAAAAAATCAATTCCAATGGGGGGGTACTAAAGTGGAGATGGATCGTTCACTGGTTTAGGCCAAAATTATAATCTGCAGATGGATGAATAGAGTGTGATTAAGTTCTTCCTGTAAAAAACATGCTGTGATGTGCATGTGTCTAAAATCGTGGCCATAGATGGTGCCACTGAAAGACAAGAAGCTCACCCTCTGGCTCAAAAATTTGCTAGATTTCAAGTGGCATTAGTAACAGGAGTGAGGTATTAAGCTGCAAAGAAGTTCTCTGTAGCTTTCAAGTATGTTTATATTTCCCCTGTATCTTTAATTTGTAAAAAAAGTAGAAATCTGGACTGAACAATTAAAAGACTATTACTGTAAAATGGCTCCGAAATAACATGTGCACAATAAGTGAGCCAAGCTGGTTTTTATTTTTGCGAGCTTGCATTTTTTAATTTTTTTTGTAACTTGTATGAATTTTATGTTCATTCTTAACAGCTATTATTCTTTTCAATAGAATAAATTTGTTGATTCCTCTTTTATTAAGATTATCAACAATATGAATGCCAATTATTCGATACTGATTGAACATTACATAAATAATGCTTAATGATTAAATTTGCCACATGTATCATTCCTACTAATCCCTGCAGGGCATGAAATTTCCTCTTGCAAACTTTGTGGTCAAATATTTACGGCTACTCATGTTATATAATCTTTTATGGCTACTCATGTTATGTAATACGGCCAATCATGTTATATAATGTCGAGTTTTTAATTCGGCTTTATACTCTTAGATTATTGAGCCTCTCTAAAAACAGTGAGTGGAAGTGTTTTGATATTGAGGAATTGCATTTTTCTTCAATTTAGAATAAATAATGCTGGGCCATCCCTATTTTAACCTCCAAAATCATTACTTTTGGAAATAGAGTAAAACCTCGCAAGGGCGAACAATCTCCATTCAAAATTAACAGAAAAAATTCCGTGCCTCCTAGAAGTGTTCGTAAATAAAAGTGGTCTTTAATGGAGGTGTCACTACATTGAAATCTCAAGAGAAATTAATTTTGATTTAGTATTCTTCCTATAAATCTATTTCGAGTTAAAAAATTTTACATTCTTTTATAGTTTCGGTTCCGTGAAAGGCTCTTCATACTGTGTCAGTTAAAAAAATTTTTTTGAGAATGTTAAATAGTGAGGTGTAAAAATTTTAGTCTGATTTGCATCTCCAAAATGTCATGCCGTTTAATGAGCACAAGTCTTACGTTTTTGTCTCTCTTATTAATAATCAAAATTTTGTTTTTTGTATTACAGATGTCTGACAGGGGAGGTGGGATTCCTCGTTCCCTCACAGAAACCCTCTTTCATTACATGTATTCTACTGCTCCTAAACCTTCATCATCTGTAGAATCTACACCTTTGGTATGATTCTTGAAGATTTTGTGTATAAACTGTCATTAGTATTATAGTATTTGTGAGTGGTTTAATTATGTACCTAAAATTCAGCTTCAATCAGGATTTATAAAACTAAATGAAGAATGCCAAGAGAATAAAGAAATTTTGTTGTGATGTTGGAAATGAAGCATTGCGTATAAAAGGTTAAAATTGATGTTGTTTCTTGCCATTCAGAATTTTTTTTCTTCCAGATATTGCAGTAGAAGGGGATAAAACTCAGTTAAAATACTTTCTTTGCTGGAGTTTTATCTTAATATCATATGTAGATTTAATAAATATTGCAATTGAAATACCAGAGTTTGGAGAATAATTTCTGTAAATAAACAAAGTGCTTAGTTACTACACCCAGCCCACTTCCAGCTAAAAGCAAAGTGCACCTTTATTTTCTTGTTAAAAAATATATATGGTATAAAATATCTAGTTATAAAATATCTTATGGTATTTCAACTTAAAATCGATATCTTAAACTATAGTTGTTTTAAATGCAAAATAATTTTTTGTCACTCTTATTTCATAAAGTAATATATGAGTACAAAAAGTTATATCCACATTACACCACATTTTTGTGAATTTTTTCTTTTAAGTTCTAAAAAGGCATTTTTTTAATATGCATATTGCTTAAGATCTATCATGCAAATGTATTTTAACAGTAAATATATCCAATTTAAGAAACAAAAAAGAAGACACATATTTCATTTGCATACATTGATCAGTTTACCTTTGCACTTTTTTTGTTTCATATATTTTATTATGTGTTTTATTTTAAACTTTATTTTATTTTGTGTTTTTATATTTGTTATAAGTACATAATTTAGCAACATAATCTTACCACATGGCTTAACAGACCTAATTTAACAACCAAGTGGCTTAACTTCATACCGATGGAGTTTGTAAGCTCATTAAATTTTTTGAAATAGTCTTGAATTTACTTCACAACTATGCATAAAAAAAGTGAATCACTGTACTTTCCAGTTGAAGGAAAAAAGAGTTATGCCCTTTTTAAACAATATCTTTAGAAATATGATTTTGAAATTTTTATAGTTGAGCATAAATCGTTTTACTTTTAAGAAATGTTTTTTAAAAAAATCACTTGCATGAGTTTTTTTTTTGTTTTCACTGAAAAAAAAACATAATCGAAACTCAAATTTAATGCAAGTAAGTAATTAGCTCCTACTTTAAACACAGTTTCACTATCAACAGATTTTACTGTATGACTTAATAACATAGCATAGATGTGATTCAATATGACATTTGTATTGTAGGCTGGCTATGGTTATGGACTTCCTTTATCAAGACTCTATGCTAGGTACTTTCAAGGAGATCTTATAATCACATCAGCAGAAGGTTATGGTACAGATGCCATAATATATTTAAAAGTAAGCTGACAAAAAAACTTTTTATTTTAAATTTTTTTATTTAGTTAAGGCAATTTTGTCAGAAATGAAACAAAACTAAAAATCAATGTCGTAACAATTTTGAACAACCCGTTAACGAGATGCTTACATGCACATGACTCTCCTACTAATGGGCAGAAATCCACCATCTTATTCTTTTAGTTTGGAAGATTTTCACCATTTTCAATGTTTGAAACTGCTCCGGGATCCGCTAACATTGAGATTCCCATTCACGCGGTTTGAATATCATGCATTGATTATCGTATTTGCCTAGTTTAAGTTACAGATTTCGATTTGTATTTGCATGGTTTAGAAATCCAATATCGGGACTCTTGTAAGAACTAAGATTTTTCTTAAATTTGTTACCATAAAGGTGTGATATTCATCATATGTAGAAATTTAGTTATAAATTTTACTTAAAAAATTGTGTTAAATATGAAACATGTATGGTATATAAACTGATTTCTTAATATCTATTTTTTGCACGTAAAATTCTAAGGGTTTTTTCACTTTGTCACGCCTTGCTTTTTGCGCCGTACATATATATCAGCAAATAGAAATTTCTTTCATTTATTATGTTCCTTATAGTGTCATGTTTTCCCAGTAATGTTATGTTAAAATTTTTTTTGGGATACAGTATTTGGTGGAAAGGTGAGTAGTATATCCAAAATTTTACTTGTTGTAAAGAGTTAGCCATAAACTTAAACTTCTGTGCTTATGAACAACCTAATTTATAAGAACTACAAAGAAACTCGAAGAGAAATGATTGAAACTCATAGCACACAACAGGAAATAGCTCTCCAAAGTTGGCATTTCTTCTTGACTTCACGTAAACTTTACTTTAACACTCATCTAACTTAAGAGTCCTTATTTTTTTAATATATTCTGAAGTTAACAGATGAACGCACACACCATTGCTTCCCATGTACATTTATAAATTTGGGGGAAGGTTCTCTTCTCTCAGCCTTATGAATTGATTTCTCTTTTTTAAAGCAATAAATATGAAAAATATATTTCACAATCCAAAACACCCTTGTGATAGTTTTATTCGTTTTGAACTTCCCTTCTATTTTTATATATTGATTCCTTTTGATATTATGAGAGGTTTACATTTAATGTTCTCCTTCCTTTATGATCAGCAAACTTGATTTTGTTGTATATATAAAAAAACAATCCATAAGATTTGTGACTTTAAACTATCTTTTTGCAGGCTTTATCAGATGAAGCGAATGAGCTGTTACCAGTGTTCAACAAAACATCCTCCAAGCATTACAGGGCTTCTGTGGGAACCCATGATTGGAGCACATCACTTCACCCAGTGAACCAGACCATGGGTATGCGACAATTTACTACCTTCAATGATAAGAGAAGGATATCAGCTAGGTGAAGGTATGGATATTCCACTCTTCCCTTCTTCCTGAAATTTGAAAGTTTGACCTTCCAATATATTATCAGACAGATAACTTATCCCGATTGCTTCATATCTGTCGGGTCCGATGGTCGAAAAAAACTGCATTTTTGTAGTTTTCTTCAACTACTTAGTTGCAAATTACTTTTTTTTTTAAATGTAGTGACTAAAAACTGCTTTGGAATTGTAGTAAGTACTTCACTACTTTAAGGAGATGAACTTTACACCCATGTTCAAAATGGTTTTGAATACGAAATTAGCTTACATTAAATAGGAGGGGATAATTAAGAAATATTAATACATGTTTATATGAGCCAGTTTGTTATTCCAAATCATTTTTTTAGAATTTTTTCATTCAATCTTCCACTTTTTATGCTTTTTTTTGACAGCGAATATTTAATTCAAGAACTGGAAAATTATCAAATGCATGCAATTTTTTGATTATTTCCTCTTAGAAATTAAGTTTATTGGAAATATGTTCCTTTATTTTAAAATAAGGTCAATGTTTCACGATTGTGCATTTGCATGTGAAAATGTGACTAAAGTGATTCATTATCTATTTTTTATAATGGCTAGTTTAAGTATTTATTGTATGTAAATTTAAATACGTAATTTTTGTTAATGCTCCGCTACAGGGTCATTTCATTGGCAGACCTGCGAAGATTTGTACCCATCTATAGTTTAGTTAGAACCCTATTTTTTTTCTAAACTAAAAAAGGTAGTTGCCTGGAATCGCTATAAGCTACTGTTTTTTTTTCTCTTGTATTGCACTACTCCCTACTCTATGTTTTAAAAAAAAGTAGCACACTGCACTACAAACTTTGAAAAAAGGGTACTACAGTAGTTTCAATTTTTGTAGTGTGCTATTTCTGACCTCTGATCAGGTCTATCGTAATTTCTCCTTAACTGTGCAACAATAAATCTTAATGAGAAGATTTTTTTCGAAATTTCAGTGTGTTTGTAATTTTTCTCAGAATCATACAAAATTTTTTTTAAAAAATGTTAGTATCAGTTAAATATATTTATGTTGCATCAAAATAATATTTGATTTCCAATTAAAATTCTATCAGAGTTAAAATATTACCCATAGCATTTCTAGAATTCAAAATTATTGTACAAAAAGGCAGTGGTCATTAAAGTCGCTCATTTTTCTGACTTTAGTGGTCACAGGATTTCAAAAGATTTTCCAATGTCACAAAAAAAAAAAAAATTCAAAAATAGTGTTGTTTATTACATATGGTTTAATAATCAGATTTTCACATACTAAAGTGAAATCTCAACGGTTTGATGAAATTATGTGCATTAGTGTTACATGATGTTTATTTGAAGCACACCCTATTTTAATGATCAGATATTTTGAAAGGACCCATTCTATAGGCACCTCCAGTATTGAATGTCCTTTACCTTATTTTCAAAAATAACATTTGCACTTCTTTAATTGTTGATATACAAAGCTCTGAGTAGAACCTGTTTGCTTTCCTGCACATATGAACTAGTTTATCTATTAAAAACGATTTATCAGAGTATTTTTTTACAAACCTGTCACATAGCAAGTGGCAGTCGAATTAATTTCTTAATTAAAAGAGAATTTTCCTTTTTCATTTATAAAAAAAAATGTATACTGGCAGAGGTATCTTAAATGATTTGTTTTCAAACTTTCAAAATCAGGAAGCCTTTTTTTTAATTCTATAGCATGACTAATTTCTTAATTTGATTTGCATTATTCATAAATATTTTTTTCTTGCTGAAGTTACTCATAATGTTAATGAAAAGGTTATTATTATTTTTGCATGCTACATATATTTTTTTAAAGTCTACACAAATGTTAACTATTGCAATTTATGCATGAAAATAATCTTGACATAATGTAATGGGCATGCATTGGATTTTTTCTCTCAAAAACTTGAGAATGGTTCTTTCTTGAAAAGTACTTTTAATCATTCTTATTCAATTTTCGCTTTTAAATATCAAAATTTGACTATTAAAGTATTTAA